CTTTCCCTCTGTCCTGCCCATTCAGCCCCATTTTGAACCTTCTCATGACATCCTGCTTGCTTTTGATTACTTGATGGTAATGAGGCACCTTAGCCAAACTGTCGTGTTTAAAAATCTGCTTGCCTGCCCTGTTGTCCTTTGGCTTGCCTGCAGTCTTCTCGATGCTAGTACTTTTTTCCCTCACTCTTGTTCCACAGACCTGTGTTCATGCTTTCACCTCTGTGGAGGTTCAGGTCATCCATCTCTTCCTCTCTCGGTTTTTTAAGCCTCACCTAGAAGCTCTGTGGCTCTCATAAACCATATGCCCTTCCGCTGCCAAGTCATCCCCCTTACTGAAACTTTAGGCTTTTGAAGGCAAGGGATGTGCCTCGCCTTTTGGGCATCAAGTCCTGTGAGCATTCAGTAAAGAACTGTTAGTGATGGGCACCTAAAAATGCTGTTTCTTAATTTTAAAGGCTTAGTGACACATATGCAGATTTAACAGCAGAATTGGCAAGTGTTCACTGTGAATCTGAAAATTTTTTTTCCCTTTCCATGCATGCTTTTTTTTCCTGTTGTAGCTGGCAGTGTGATTAACACCAAAAGGAGAACAGCATGGTCTGAGTGTGGCAGGTTTTGCCAGAACCCTAGCCTTTGTGGCTGTTGCAAGCCAGTGGAAAAGGTGTTGGGGGAATGCCTACATCAGAACTTCAGGCCATAAAAGGAGCACAGCTCCAGATCAGCCTCCCGATAGGAGACAGGGAGGGAGGCAGCGTGGGTGGAAGGCAGGCTTTCTCATCGTTTTTCATTACCAGGTGGACGCTCATCATTCTCTTCTCTTGCAAGTAGTAGATTGTATCAAGGATGGAGTAAATTGGCAGGAAAACAGTATGCAGACATGCTTGAAAATACGTTGGGCTACTGCCTTGAAGAATAAGGCTCTGTACTTCTGCCTGTTTCCTCAGTTGGAAAATGTGAGGTATTTTGAAAGGCAGGTTACATCTCTTTGCTCAGAGTGTAAAAAAGTAGGATGGTACTCCCTTCCCGGCCCCTCTCTTCAATTTGCTGACAGTCAGCACACCATGAACACGTCCACCTTTGAGCAGATCAGTTTTGCAGATGGTTTTGAAAGACAGCTTGCTGACCTAAAGCAAGCCCTGACTACTCTCTTTGATTACTTGCATTACTAAGTCTTATGTCACTTTATCTAACTGGTCGAGGTCGAGTACTTCCATAGCATGTAAGTATTTAAAGATGCGCGTGATGTCACCATCTGATCTAATCTCTCTGCCAGCTCAGAACTGTTGCCTAAATCTGCTTTGGAGTGCTCTGCCTGCTGACTGTGATAATCTCTAATGCTTCCAAAACCTCCTCCTCCTGGTGGTCTCTCTGGTTAGCCTGGCTGCTCAAAGTTTAGCTCCAGGGGAAACTGCCCTGAGAGCCCTGGAAGCCACAGGTACACACTTTCTGTCGTGCACTGGCAGGTGAATAAAATTTATGGGCTGAAGAAGTCAGCCCAAACCCCAGGTATTGTATGCAAAGGAGAAACTCAATTAGACGTAAGAGGGGATTATTTCTGAATTTTCCTTTAGGTGTACACGCTTACAGTGCAAATACAGAGCTCAGCCACATGAATTCAGCTCTAAATATTGTAGCATTTCACACAACAGGTTGTTACTTTACATCTTATTTTTGTCTTGTTTTTTACTTTCAACATGACATTTGAGTGGCTTTAAACCCTGCCGTACAGCATCTTAGCGGATGTGCTTTGCTTTATTTCTTCTTTCTGATCTTGGAACCGCAAGGGATGTAGCCTGAGATCTCATCAGGGTTGCCACAGCAGCCCAAACCCAGAGAGCAAAATTGGCACCAAATTATGGTAAGAAAGGCCAGCGAACACAGGTATGCCACCACACAGTGCTCCTCAGTGCTTTTTAAACCATCGCTCTTTGAGTGGCACCTCTAATAGCATCCTATATGGTATGCTGCGTTTCTGTGGTCAGCACTTGACACTGGCAGACAAACTACAGATGCAACAAGAGGCTGATAACTTAGCTGTTTGTGCCTCTATTGCCACGCTGGTGTTGACTTCCACTTGGCTGGGCTTGCCAAGCTGTTGGTTTGTTTTTATTTTTGCTGCAGATGTATTTTTCCTGAGCTTTAAAGATGGGTGCAGAACAGAGCAAGAAAATAATCAAACGTGTTACCTGATTCTCTGGCAAGGTATCTTGCTATTGCCAGGCTCTGGTGAATGATAACTCCGTCTACTTCCAGAATGGGGATTTTGCCAAACGGGATAGCTTGGAGGAGAAAGAAAAAAAGAAAAAACAACCAAAAGTTAAATCATAGCCCTTAACAGTGGGAGTCTGTAAGAGTTGCACTCTTACCACTCAGAGGGTATATATTATTACAGCACTTAACAGTTTCACAGT